AATAATCACTACAATAAAATTGTGGATCACACAAAAAAGAAACAGCCCCAAAGTCACATGCAGGGGAAAAATCAGAATATGGAATAAACAAAAAACCACCTAATTTTTCTAGAAGTTAGAAACTCTAGAAGAGTTTCTTGGGAGAACATGGAAAATAAATGTTTTATCAGCCAAGAAAGTTCTCTCCTAATGTGGCTACTTGGTGTCTATAAAAGTAAACTACACAGAAGAAATTTTGTTTAAAAGGAGATTTCAAAAGTTATTTTCAAATAACACAACAGCACAACTGAAATACTAAAAAAGAAACCAAACATAATTCTATGATGTCCCAAAAACAGGAATAAAATTGACCATGTCAAAGCAGGCAGTGAGTGAAATTTCAGAGTTCCACATCTGCAAAGTGTCCTTGGCTGTTCCTCCAGGCTTAAAGCAGTGCAAGAAATAATCAATTTGTCACCCTGAGAAATCCCACACTTACTGCACGTCTGCTGTGTGATCCAAATCTGAGGGGGGAAGCAAAAAGAAAAAGAATGATGTCACCAAAAGTGTTTATAACACGAGGATTAAAAAAAGAAATAACATCAATATCTGGTTTTTCTGACAGAACATTTTTACATTCATCTGTATGTGATAAATTTATTTTGTAGTATATTAGAAAAATTTAACAGAGGTGGAATTTTGGATTATTTCTGCCAAAAAAAACCCCAACTCTTTAATGGGATTATGTCAGTGTAGGGTTTGGCTGCTGAAACCCAACAAGTTCACTACAATAAAAAGAAAATTTCACCAGGAGTAAAGAGATAAATGAATAACTGAAAGTTATTCATGCAAAGGATGAGATTTGCAAATATTTCCAGCTCAGTGAGGAAATCTACCTGTCCACACCCAAAAGCAGCCATTATGCAAAGAGAAGGATTTAAACCAGAATGGAATATAAAATAGAAGGCAAACTTTACTCATGGAGCATGATTAACATCTCATGAACCTCATTTGTATTTATTCAGAGGAATGAAAGAAATGCAAACTTGCAGCAGAACTAAGTTGGGAAATAAATGCTCACTTCAAATGAAAAATGATTCTGGTGCTGTTTGAAGAGATCCCACACTATTAAAGGATCTCAACAACAGTCTCTAAAGCAAACAAATTCCTCTGGATGCAAAAAAGGGAGAAAACCTTCTGCAGTTATGGAAACTGCATGGCTGTTGTGGTGTGTCACAATTCCTGCACTTCTATCAAATAAAAACAGCCAAAAATATAAATTATATCAGAGATAACCAAGGCTGTGCCTCAAAAAACCAAACTCAAAAAACCTCAAAAACCAGGCAGGGAATTGTCCCCTGCCTTGAGCTGCCATCCTCATCCTCTTAGGGGACATTCAGGGGTGGAAAAAGGGAGATTAAAATCTTTAAGTGGAGTAAAAACACCACACACAAACCCAACACACTTCTGAATGTCCCTTCCTACACGAGAGATAGAAAAATTGCTAAGAGGAGGAAAAGTTTTTAAGGTGACACTTAAGTTATTTATTTCCATTGTGATTTTTTTTTTAGTGCCCTTAAAAGAAAAGCACAATTAAAAAAATTGGTTTTTCATTCCTAAATTTCCATTTATCTTCCTTACCCTCACACCAGCACTGCCACGCCCACGGTGCATATTTAAAATGATTAATTTTAATTATGAAATTTATATTTAAAATTATTTTAAAAATATTTTAAACTTTAATTATTTTTCATTAATTTTGATTAATTTCAATTATTTTTCATTATCTAAAAATTTAAAAAAATATTTTAAAAGTAAAATTTTGAGTTCAATAATTTATTTTAAAAATTCAAATACTCACATTCATATTTCTTGCAGAGAGGGGGGTACTTGTCTTTCACAGCCTTCTGCTCCTGGGTCAGGTTGTAGTCCCTGTCCTCGTTTGCCATGGCTGAGGCTCCACAGGGATTTAATTCCTTCCTTCCTGCTTTCCCCACAGATTTATTCACCTGTGGAGAACAAGGAGGGATCCTCTCAGGGCTAAATTTGGGTAATTTCAGGTGGTTTGGGGCAAACTGGGAAATGAGGAAGTTGGGAGTTCAATCTGGTGTTTGTTCACTCAGCAGAGTCAAGGGAAATATTTCTTATGGGAATTGTGGACTTTGGCTTTTTCTAGGAGGAATTGTGTTTTTTTCTTCCTTGTGTACAGTGAGAATTCCATTCATTCATAAATAATGCAATACAGCTGATGGGAACAGCTGTAAAGTGAATTAAACTTCCATGTTTTAGGTAAATTTTCATTTTCTAATTAAATTTTTAAGGCGCTCAGCCCATTGTACATCACACACCTGAAGTGTCACTGCCCCAAAAACCTTACAGAGGATTTTTCTTAGGAAAAAAAGTTATGTTCTCTTAGGTCAAAGATTGCATTTAAACCTCCAGACCTCAAAGCATAAATCCAGCTGTCCCAGGGGTTTCTGTGTTCCTTTTCTGGCTGATTTTTAAAATAAAATAAACAAAAAGAACTGCATCAACTCCCCACTGAAAAGTCCGATTCTCCCAAATTGCTCTTTTCCTGTTCTTTTATAAATCCAACAGACACGAACGGAAAAACCCAATTAACTTCAGCCTAATTAATTCTCCTCTCCAGATTTCCAGACATCATAACCATTCTTTAATATTTTTGTACATTATAAGAATTATCCACAGCTGAACCCAAACCACACAAATAATTTACAGATATCCCTTAACATTTACAGGAGTTGCTTCTTATTCCAAGGCTTAGAAACAAGACATAGCATTTCCAATTTTTAATTTCTGATAAAATCTAAGTGTGTTGGAGAGAGAAGTCTGAAATTGAGAATGGGGGAGAAACTGAGAACTTCCTTGAGAGATAAACGCAGAAATTGATTTGATATTTGATTTTAAACCTGTTAAACCTCAGCTGTGGACAGTTACCCTCAGCAGCGGACCAGAACCAGCAAATGTTCCACCTCTAAAACTCGCCGCGGCACTGAACTGTGGAAAAAGGGAAAATATTCGTGATTATATGGAATTAATAACGCTGAGGATCCCCGATGGTGTCAGGGCCGCCCTGGAAGGAGGCCTCGGCCCACACACGCACCGCTCCAGTGCTGCCTCAATCCGCTCTGCCCACGTCTGTGGTGACCGGAAAAGCCGCAACCACCGGTTCTTCCAAACCGGGGACCGGGAGCGAGAACGGA